AGGAGTGTTTAAGGGGTTTTTGTTTGTTTTATTCTTTCTTTTTAAGGCTGCAAGGGAGACGAACGTGTTTGAGGCTCAGGGGTAAGAAAGTGGTTGGTTGAAGACACCGAAGACAGAGATGTGCGATGGGGCGGGGTGGGACTGGCTCCGAGGGACTGGCTTAACAGTGGGAATGGAGAAGAGGGATCCCCATCCACCCCCGCAGGAAACGCTCCAACATTTGGAGGTGTGTGTGCCTGAGTGTGCCTGTTTGTGCGGTGGGGATTAGCTCCGACTCCTGCAGACACCATCACTCATGACGAAGCTGATTCCCCTCACGCGGCCCAAGGCGCACACGCGCGATCCACGACCACGCCCGCACACACTTGACACACACAGGGCATTCGAGGGTCCGGTTGCCATGGCGAGCAGGAGCGCGTGAGCCCAGCCGCCCCTCCCGCCCCCGGCGAGCCCAGTCAACTCCCACTCTGATTGGTCGCTGCCTCCTCATTATGCAAATCATTTGCGTAGACTCGGCGGCCAGCTGCCTGACGTCACCAAGCACGGGGGCTGGGGCTCGGGGCTCGGCTCCGGGAGAGCTCGGGCGGGAGCCCAGAGAGCGGTGCACGGGGACCTCAAGCCAGACCCCAGCGTCCAGCCACCTCGGCCCGGGCCCGCCCCGCCCCGGCCCCGCCCCTTTCTGGCCCGCCCCACCCCCTCTACGCCCCTCCACCCGGACCCCGCCCCCTGGGCAGCCCCCCGCCCTCTCCGCCCGGGCCCCGCCCCCTCCCCCTGGCCCTCGCCACTGGTCCAGGGAGGGGACGGCGGGACAGGCGGGATCGGTGGGACCGGCGGGAGGGCGGACAGGGCGGGGACATGGCCGCGGCGCCCGGAGGGTCAGCGCAGCCAGCCGGCCCCGGCCCGCGCCTGGGTTTCAGCACCGCGGACAGCGGCGTCGGCATGAGCGGGCTAAACCCCGGTCCCGCCGTGCCCATGAAGGACCACGACGCCATCAAGCTCTTCGTGGGGCAGATCCCGCGGGGCTTGGACGAGCAGGACCTCAAGCCGCTGTTCGAGGAGTTCGGCCGCATCTACGAACTGACGGTGCTGAAGGACCGGCTCACCGGCCTCCACAAAGGTGCGCGGGGTCAGCCCAGCCCAGCCCAGCCCCAATCCGATTAGAGTGTGGCCCGGCCCCAGCCCAGCCCCAGCCCTAGGCTTGCCGAAAGCCAGTCCAACACTAGTCCAATATCAGCCCCACCTCAGCCCAGCCCCCTTCCCAGATCACAGAATATTTTCTCTGACATCCTCCCTCTGATTATCACTGTGGTCTCCTAACATGTTCTGCACTCTAACCTCCAAATCCCTGCCCTCCACCTCTCACATCCCAGCAGTCTCTGCCTTTTAATTGGACCTCTCCACCACCTCTGCCAACAGACCCAAAATTCTGGAATTTGAAAACTTATTCCACCTTCTAGATCTTCAATACCCTCAATTTCCAAACCCTGAACCCAAACATTCCTGAACCCTCCATCTGGTGGCCCTACTCAGGCCTAACCACCCACACGTATATCTTGGACTTCCACCCCTCCTTCTGGCTTCCTAGTCCAGCCATCTCCCCTCAAAGAGCCTTCTTTTGACTCTTACACTGCCAACCTAAAACACTGCAGACCCAAACTCTTCCCTTCTTCAGAACTCATGCCTGTCTAACTCACAAAATCCATTTCAGCTCTCAAGAGGCTCTCAGTTCCAAATACCCACCTCATGTTCAACAACAGCCCCAATCTCTCCTGCCCTTTGCCAGAATCTCAGTGCTCTCTACCTCTTCTGATTTCAGTTCAGAACCCTGACCTCAGCTGGGAATTCCTGCCACCCTGTGCCCGCTTCCTCTTGGATTTCCCTCAGCTGAAGCTACACTTCTTTCCTTCTCTAATCCCCCCACTCCTGTGCCTCTTCTTTACTCCTCCCCGATCCTCTTTATGGCCTCCTTCTTTCCTTCCCTCACAGGCTGGTTCCAGTCCAGACCCATTCTCAGGGTGGGTCAGGATGAAGAGACAGAAAGAGATCTTCTCCCTGCCCTTGCTAGAGAGACACAGGCACCACCTCGGCCACACCCCTTTCTTCCTGTAGAGAGAGGGAGGAGGCTTGTTTACACGCAGAAAAGTCTATCCAGGCAGGACTGGAGTAAGAGAGCCAGAGTCACATGTCATACATGAGCAGGAGAAGGGGAGATGATTTGAGAAGAAACACTCTTTTCTCCTCCCCAACCACCACCACCATGCTGTGCTTTCAGGTTTTTGTTGGGGAAGAGTCACCAACTATCCTCCATGATCTTCCTAAGAGAGGAGTGGTGGGCCTTGGGTAACAGCTAAAGGTACATTCCTAAGGACTGAGAGCTGGAATCAGACTGCCACCTCTTCAAATGGGGGGCCTTGTGGGTTTCCTTGGCACACTAATGAAGGCACTTTGAGAAAATGCCAATAGAAGGGCTAGGACCATCTGGCTAGAGTACAGCTTCCACCCTTTGGGGTGGGGTTGTGTTAATGGGTTTGTGAAAGGACAATACCACACCATCTAGATTCCGCCTAATGTACTACCACTACTTGCCTGTCTGTCCATCCCTCCATAGCAACTCATTTTCTTATTTTTAGACATTGATTTCAGTATGTAAGTACAAAACTAATCTTTGTAGGGCATCTGTACAATAAGGGAAGTATATAGAATATCCTTAAATCTCACTCTTCTCACTATCAGAGTCTCTGAACTGTTTCCTCATCCTCTCTCTCCTCATTTAGCGCTCATTCTTCCTGTTATTTGCATTATCTGTCTTTCAAACCATGCTTCTCTGTCTTTTCTTCCCTTCATTCTTCCACCTTCTATCCTGGCTAGTCCACATGGGGCTTCTTTAGGCAGCAACTGGGCCCCAGAGGCTTTCAGACAGGAAACGCTGCTGGTTTTGACATCAGGTGATATGGCTTGGTGGCAAAAGACATAGCAGGGGTGTAAGTGGAATCAGGTGTTTGGCGATTTATTTCCAAACCAACCCACAACTCTCCAAGGCAAGTGTTGCCTTACAAGATGATTGTGGAGGATCTCCAAGTCAACTTCTTCCTCATCCTCTCCCCAGCAGCAGTGACGTCTAAAAGACATCATTCTCCTTTTGATGCCTGAGTACCAAGGCAGGCAGCCACAGTGCTTTGAAAACAACCCCAGCTTGGGAGTTAAGACATTCCAAATCCTTCCCTGCCACTGACCCACTCTCTGGGCTTCAGTTTCCCTTTTGATATGATAAGTTTTCCTCAGGAGTTCTCTAAGTTCTCTTTAACTCAATCAGTGGCCAATAATAAACCCATCTTGCCGGGGCAGTGAAGAAGCCAGAAAAAAAATGCTCCCATTTGCCTTTCTAATCTGCTGAGGTCTAAGCGGAAATCTGCCCCAAGTTCCTAATGGCTCACCATATCCACTTTCTCCTTCTTCAGTCCTTCTCCCTCCTACACTCAGAAGGCTCCTTTTGAGAACACAGATCTTATCTTGTCACAAATCTGCTTAAAACCCTTTAAAGTGGCTCTCCGTTGCTCTTAGGAAAAAGTTCAAAATCCAACTGAGGCCCACAAGGCTATATACGACTTGATTCCTGTGTACCTCACTAGCCACTCTGCCCCCATGCACCAGCTCCAGCCACACTAGCCTACTATCAATTCCCCCAGCACACCAAATTCTTGATTGTCTTCATATATGCTTTTCCCTCTGTCTGAAATAATCACTGTCCTTTGCATCACCTGATTGTTAAGGAGTCAGTGTTCTTGTTCTCATGGACTCAATGCCTTCTTTGAGACATTATTCAACCCTTTGGACTCATTTAGGGACTCCTCATGATTTGTCTAATCCCCATAAGGGCAGGGAATGTGTCTGTCTTGTTGCCACTCTATCCCCAAGCTCATCAAAATGCCCCACCATAATAAGTAAGTGTTCAATAAATATTTTCTGAATGAATGAATGCTCAGTGGCTGTTGGAAAGGAGGGGATAGCTGCTTTAGTGTTTTCTAGCAGGCTATAAGTCCTGAGGCTGAACAAAAGGGGGCTAGACTTGACCCTTGGCTCAACCTAGACCTCTTTGCTGCCCCATATCTGCTGGACCTTTTAGAGAAGTCAGATTTTGGGGCACAATAACTCTTTAAGAGGCTCTACTTCAAAGCTCTAAGAAAGTTGACAGATCAAGATCCTTGAACAGGATTGGGGGTCCCTGGAAGCTCCTACCTATGGGAAGCCCTTAAACAATCCCATCTTCTAAGTCTCAAATCAGTCCATTCCTCAGCTTCAAACCTCAGGGAAGGAGATATGGAAAGGAGCTGTGGGGTCCTGGGGTTGGCCCCAACCCTTCTTTTACTATCCTGTCTCTTCCCTTCTGAAACTGAGTTGGGAAGGCATTGAGGCTAACCCTGGGAGACCCCATGAGTCTGAATCCAAAAAGGAAGGGGAAGTCTGAGTTAAAGATGACAAAGCTACTTAGAGAGGTTTAACCCCAACAGGACTGTGGCTGGAGTGGGGAGGGGAGATGTGGGATTGTATGCACATGTGACTGGGTAAGGGTACATATGTTCTCTGGGCAGGAAGCCAGGAGCAAATGAAAGGGAGCCAGAGCCTGGGACACAGGTCCCCAGACACATGAAGCCCCTCCCTCGAGAGGTGGGAGGCAGAGAGGGCTTCTCAGAAAGCAGAGTCCTTATTTAAAGGAGAGTGGCCTTATGTTTGACAACTTAGTGGGGTCTTTTGAAGAAGAATAGATGGGGTTTCAGGAAACCCCCTGAGCCAGCCTCTTCCTCCTCAGGCTGTGCCTTCCTCACCTACTGCGCCCGGGACTCTGCTCTCAAGGCCCAGAGTGCACTGCACGAGCAGAAGACCCTGCCAGGGGTAAGTCCTCCGGGTTGGGGGGTGGGAACCACCTCAGGCTGGGGACAGTGCCCTATGTGCATGCCAAAGCAGCATGTGGGGGCTGGGTTGGGACCAAGAACTAGAAGCAGAATCATCTTTCTAGGAGAGGGCTTCCTATACCCTGAAGAGCAACAAGTTCTTTGTTACACCCAATCTTCTGGTTCAAAAAAAGGGCTCAAGATCCTTGAGCTAGGCATTCCATCCATCTTTTAGGAGAGGCATCAGTGTTGTGGGCTAAGCTAGAATTTATTCTCCTTGGCTAAAAAATTATGGCTTTGGGTGTCACTTGTCACTGGTGTGAGCAAGAATGTAGATCCACGGGGTAGAGGCTCTGCTGGGCTGGTATCCCATTTTCTCTAGTCCTAAGGTCTTTGCTGGCACTTCTCTCTAGTCCTCTTCCTGTAATGATTTTTTTATTTTTGGTGCCTTGACTCACTAAGATTGTCTTCCCTCCACAGGGCAAACACTTGGCTAAAGTTAGGGGAGACCTGATTCTACAGGCAGCTAGGCTTGTGGGCACCAATGGTACCTGGTCTGGTCTTGGATAGTGAATAATCACTCAACAAAAGGCAAAGTGGGACCTACTGACCATGTGGTAGGATGAAGGGGGGATTGTTAGTAATTAGCATGGGTTTACCAAGAGCAAGTCATACTATACAGCCTTGTTTTCTCTTGTCCGAGGAATGGTGTGTCTAAAATAGAGCACTATTTAAATGCCATTCACAGGCCAAACTTGGGACTATGTCCAGTTCCAGGCCTCAGATTTAAGGGGTCGTTTGCCTACAAGAAAGAGACTATGATCAAGTAAAGATATAAAATATATTTGGAGTAATGGTTTGGAAGAATTAGAACTATTTAACGGGAGGAGTTAGGGCTTAGTGGGACTTTCATAAGGAGGCATCATAAGCTAATAATTAAGAATACTGGGTTTTGAGGCTGAGTGTGGTGGCTCACGCCTGTAATCCTAGCACTTTGGGAAGCCGAGGCGGGCAGATCACCCGAGGTCAGGAGTTTGAGACCAGCCTGGCCAACATGGCCAAACACCATCTCTACTAAAAATAGAAAAATTAGCCGGGCATGGTGCCACGCACCTGTAATCCCAGCTACTTGGGAGGCTGAGGCAGGAGAATAATTTGAACTTGGGACGCGGAGGTTGCAGTGAGCCAAGATCATGCCACTGCACTCCAGCCTGGGCAACAGAGTGAGACTCAGTTTAAAAAAACAAAACAAAAAAAAAAAAAACTGGTTTTTGAGTCTCACAGACCTGGATTTGAATGTCAGCTCTGCCATTTATCAGTTCTGTGTCTCTGGGTAGGTTACTTGGACTCCTGAGCTTCCGTTTCTTTAGATATGAGGAGTGGGTTATACTAACACCTAGCTCACTTGGCTGTGGTGAGGATTACTTGAGTCTTAGCAAGTGCCTGGCACAGAGTAAGATCCCAATAAATACTCCTGTTGGGGTTGGGGTAACTACCTTCAGATTCTAGAAGAGGGGTTTGGTTTTCTATGAGTGGCCCCAGAAGGCAGGATTCGGATCAGTGAATATAGTAAGAAACAGACACTGATTTCAGCTCAGTACAAAGAAGTCAATTCTCTGAATTAGAGCTGCCAAGCAATGAAGCAAGCTTCGCCAAGAGCTAATCAAGTTGTTAATGGGGTGACAGCTCCCAGAACCAATCACAGTAACTGAAGCACCTTGAGCCTCATTTTTGGGGACTCAGTGCCAAGTAACACCAATTTGTCACCATCACTGAGCCTCTGTCTGCAAGCTCCAGAGTCAGAGAGACCTGGATGTGGATCCAGGCCCCACCACTCACTAGCTCTGTGACTTTGGGCAAGTCTTTACTATTAAGCCTAAGTTTCCTCATCTTTAAAGTTAAACCCAGAGGGTTGTTGTGGTTAAATGAACTAAGTCATTAAGTGAGCTAAAGTACTCAATCCTGTTCTTGGCAGAAAATAAGCACTCAATAGGAGTTAGTTGGTAGTAGTAGTGATAGTAACAGTAATAGTAACAGCAGCATTAGTAGGAGTAGGAGTAGAACTCATCATTCATCTAACCATGGGAGCAAATGACTTCTGCTGCTAGAACCAAGAGTCAATGAGACAAGTTGTAACATTCCATGTGTGAAACAGCATGGTAAAGGTGCAGAGACAGAAGGAACAGGTGGGTGTGAAATGCAGCTGGGACTGTGGGGGAGGCCCATGTGAGCAGGGAGGGAAGATCTGCAGAGGGTAGCAGTTGAAGAGGAAACTTTGAATGCCAGGCTTTACCCTGAAAGGAAATGGGAGGCACCAAAAAAAGAAAAATTAAGATAAACTTTGGGAGGAAATAAGATCTCTCCTCCACAAGACACAGGGCTCTGCCAGGTAAAGGGTAACTGGGAAGCTCCATGAGGCCAAGGGTACCTGAGATAAGGGCTGTGAAGTCCTTAGAGAACTGGGAGAATTTCTGGGGAAGAAAAGCAATTGATAGTAATGAACATTTATTGATTCCAGTCTTCCTACCACTTTACATGGTATAAGTCATTTAACCCTCTATAAAGAAGGGATTTTTTGCTGTTGTTTTTTTTTTTTTGTTTTGTTTTTTAGACAGAGTCTTGCGATGTTGCCCAGGCTGGAGTCCAGTGCTGTGGCCTCGGCTACCGCAATCTCTGCCTCCAGGGCTCAAGTAATTCTCCTGCTTCAGCCTCCCAAGTAGCTGGGATTATAGGTGTGCGCCACCATGCCAGGCTAATATTTATAATTTTAGTAGAGATGGGGTTTCACCATGTTGGCCAGGCTGGTCTAGAACTTCTAGCCTAAAGTGATCCACCCACTGTCGCTTCCCAAATTATTGGTATTACAGGCGTGAGCCACCATGCCCGGCCTAAATAAGGTATTGTTATTGGCATTCCCATTTTACGGGTGAGGAAACTAAATCATAAGAATCAAGTGACTTGCCCAAGGTCATATAGCTAATAATGGGAAGATCTGGACTTTGGGCCCAGTTAATCTGGCCCTAGAACCGAACCCTAGAATTTAACCACTGTACTGTCACCTGAGCCAACCAGGTGGCAGACAGGGGTCGTAGGCTCTGGAGAGAATGGTGACTGGGGACATCTTCCGCCTCTTGCTACTCCACCTGCAGGCCTCGAACATGGCCCAGCTTCCTCTGATACTGTCAGGATTGGCTTTATTCGCCCTCTCCAGCTTAACAAAGTGAAAATTAATATTTAATTATTCTCCTAACTGAAAATCAATGGCTGTTTTGGCCAGCCCCAGCAATGCCTGTGCCATCCATCTTTCCTCTGGGCCCGCCAGGGACAGCGGCAACTTTAGTCACCTGGCCTCAGGCCCACCAGCATGGAGGGAGGAGTGCCCAGCTCTCTGCTGCCACTGGGTCCTGGGCACAGCTGCCACCTGCTGGAGAAGGAGGGACAAAACTTCAATCTGAATTCCTGCTGGAGTCAGGCAGGACTGTCACCAGGGGACCAGAAAAGGCTGGGTCAGCCCCCAGAGAGAAAGATCTGAAACCCCAGAGGGAATTTCAATTTTTTTTTTTTATATAGAGTCTCACTCTGTCACCCAGGTTAGAGTACAGTGGTGCCATCTCAGCTCACTGCCACCTCCACCTTCTGGGATTAAGTGATTCTCCTGCCTCAGCCTCCTGAGTAGCTGGGATTACAGGTGCCCACCACCACACCTGGCTAATTATTTTATATTTTTAGTAGAGACAGAGTTTCACCATGTTGACCAGGCTGGTTTTGGCCTCAAGTGACCTGCCTGCCTCAGCCTCTCAAATTGCTAGGATTCGAGGCATGAGCCACCACGTCCCACCAAGAATTTCATGGGATCTGATGGACTGAGACCTTCTCTTGGCTCCTCTCCATTTGTCCCCTACCTATTTCTGTCGCCTATGAAAACTTGCCTCCCTACTCAAGAACTCCTTCAAACCTCAGTTGACCTGTCCCACCTGGCTCCCACCTCCTGCAGCCTCTTCTCAATGAAGCCAGAATTCCTCCTTTTAGACTCACTTTATGCTCCAGAATCCACCTGAAAAGGATGAGGCCTAGCCTCAGTCCCACTTCTGGGATGCACATGGTGCCTTCCTATTTGTTTATCTCCTTGTTCCTGACTTCCCTTCCTTTGGGAAGCCATCCCTTCAAGCACTGTGAAGGAGGCAGATGTTACTGAGTAGGGGGGTACATTTGCTTTTACAAGTTGTGCCCTGCATCAGACAGCTTGGGTGGAGAGGGCAGATGGGGGCAAACATCCAGCCATGCTCTATTGACCAAGTCATGCACATTATTTCAGGGCTTTGTCAGCCCAGAGGAAAGGGCACATTTTTTTCTCATTCAGCCCCAAGGTTGAGGAGCGCCTTTTTATAATTTACGCAAAGACACTGTATGTGCTAGCAACCACTTCGTGAATTAGCCCGAGTCTTTGCCCTCAAGATGCTTCCCAAAAATGAGCCTCATTGTGTTTCACTCAGGCTTACATCTGGGCATGTAAAAGAGAGACCAGAATTGGGGAGGGAGTCCCAGAGTCAAACCATAAAGGAAAAGGCTGGGTGCAGGGGCTCACACCTGTAATCTCAGCACTTTGAGAGGCTGAGGTGGGCGGATCACTTAAGGTCAGGAGTTTGAGACCAGCCTGGCCAACATGGTGAAAGCCTGTCTCTACTAAAAATACAAAAATAAAAATAAATAAATAAATAAAGGCAAAAAGAAAAGAATAAAAAGGAGTAGGGAGGGAATAGATGCTTTGCAGAGGAGAGATTGTCTAAGCTGAATCATGGTCATATTTTATCATATTTGAGGATCTAGAAACCTAAAAGACAAGAAATTCTGGAGACAATGTGAACACTGGCAGGGAAGGTGTCTAGGGAAGATGGCTAAGGCTCCACACGAGAAAAGAGAATCTTGCATATTGGGCAGCACGGAAGGCAAGACTCACAACTTTTGGCAGCCAGTCTCAGAATCTTGGGCTTTAACGGGAGG